TTCATGGGCTGTGCTGATTGCCTCACAGAAGTCTCTGTAGTTCTTCCGTTTGGCCTTCCTGATCTCTTTGTTGTAGAGCGTCAGGCTGTGTCTATATTGTCTCCAGTTATCCTCGCTCGTTTTTGCTCTGTTGAAGAGCCGGCGGGTGGAGATTCTGAGCCGTTCCAGGTTGTCGTTCCACCATGGGGCGTCTCGAGCTGCTTTCCGTCTGCCAAGAGGGCAACTGTCCTCAAAAGCATTGGTTATCTTCTTGCAGAGGTTATCCACTGCCTGATCTAATTCTAAGGAATGTCTGGGTATACCTGACGGTTCGTTAGAGAGATCGAGCTCAAGAGAGGACTTGAACCGATCCCAGTTTGTCTTCTTGGGATTCCTTTTGGGGGCGTCCCTAGCGGTGTTGCAGTCTAATTCAAATCTAATGATTCGGTGATCCGACATTGATTCCTCTGGCGACACATGCCAGTTCTTAATAAGTCCTAGAGACCTGCTCATCAGGGTTAAGTCTAGGACCTCTTCTCTTACTCTAGTAATGAATGTCGGTGTGGACCCGACATTACCGATTTCTAGGTTACTATTTACTATAAATTCTATTAGCTGCTCACCTCTGTTGTTGACGTCGGTGCTTCCCCATATCACGTGATGTGCATTGGCGTCACACCCGATGATTAGGGGCATCTTCTTCCTCCTGCAGCATTCCACGAGCCCGATGATTTCCGGTGGTGGGCATGCTGCATCCCCAGCAAAATACGCCGATGCTATGGCGATCGCTGGTAGTCTTCCTGCGCCGCTCACAGTTACTGCGACACAGTCCCTGCTTAGGAACTCTGAAAAGATATTATAGTTGATATCTTTTCTTATTAATATGCATGCTCTGGGGTGTGCACCCCGTTGGTCACATATTACCTTTGATTCCTTGGTGTACAGGCCTTTAATGCCCTGATTGCACCAAGGCTCCTGTATGGGAGCTAGCCCGAGATGTTGGTTGGTGAACAACCTGGCCAGGACGGCTGATGCCGCCTTGGCTCGGTGTAGGTTCACCTGGGCTAGCCTCGTGCTGCTGTGTGCAGCCATCATTGGAGCGGATGCTCCATCTTTGGTGAAGGGGGCGGGTGTTCCCCTCCACTACCATCCGTCAGAGTGACTTCGGCCTCCATATCGTCGTTACTGTCGGAGGGCGTAGGATGCTCCTTATCCTCATTCCTCTCAACTGTAACGGCGCTAGGGTCCTCTTCTGTGCCCATAGGCTCCTGTGGCTCGTCGAGGGATTCATCGACCTCCACTTTGCCATCTGGGGGACCAGAGGGCGCTCCTTCCGTTGCGGCCACCTTTGCTGCCTTTCTCAGCCCACTCACCGAGACGGTACCGAACCTAAAGTTGAGCTGATGCCCTCTAGCTACGATCTCGTCTCGGGTGAGCTGGTCGATCCCGATGACAAGGAGTGCTCCGCCTCCATCGTTCCTCCGGGAGACCACTCTCCAGGCGTCCGTCTCCAGCCTGTTCTGGCGCCCGAGCAACATGAGGAGTTCCTCATTCTCTCTTTCCGCGCTTCTGGGGCAGAAGACCGTGACGTTATATGCCGCGGGGATATCTTCTCCCACCTTGGTTTCTAGGGGCACGCCCTTCCACGTCCTGAGCAAGGGCACAACGGCCCTCAGCCAGTCCGCTGAGTCCTGATCCAGGCAGTCGATTATGAGGTATCCTACCCTGAAGTGGATGTCCCTAAATGCAACTGCCGTGTCCCATGCCGACGTGATTATGTCGTCCATGATGGCCTCCTCCAACTCGGACAGCTCATCGCGGCTCAGGTGCACCTGTGGGAACTCCGCAGGTAACACCGCCACTCTGACACTCTTGGCAGCCTCCTTTGGCCGCCGCCTTTGAGGTACAAGGCTCCTCAAGCTTTGGGCAGGAGGGAGTTGCCTTGACCTCATTAGTGCCCTCTGACTTCGACCTTTTAGGGGTGTCTGTCGGAGGGGTGAGGGTGCTGTTACCCCGCTTGCTGGCAGGTGCACTACTTGGGGCCGCTGGTCGTGGCTCCTTTGCCTTCCTCAATGCCTCGTCAGGTGACATGCCCTGCTTGAGGTATCTGAGGTACCATTTAGCTTTGGACCCCGGCAGGCCTCTCCTGTTGGGGTCGTCTATGCCTCCAGGTTGTCCTCTGGCTGGGAGGACATCCTTCTTCGCGGCAGGCCTGGTCCTCTGTCCAGCCGCGGGGGGTGGGCGAGCCAGCCGGGATGGTCCTGCTGGTCGCGCACGTTCCCGGACTGGAACAGTTGACCGTTGTGGGGGATGTCCCACATCTTGCGTTCCAGACGCACTCCTGGCGGTGGCTGCGCTCCTGGGTGGGGATGGTCCCACCTGTGGTCGCTCCCCGTCGAGGAGTTGATTTTCGAAGTGTCTTGCGACACTCGAGGCAGGGATGTCCTGCGGTAGCTTGTTTGTATTAATATTCTTCCTCATAGTGGATCCCACGAGTTGCGGAGAAAGTAAGGTCCACCCGGGCAGAGATCCGCCATACCCGGGTAAGGCGCGGTTAGGACAGGCGGTCGCCACTTGCCTGAACCCTCCGTGAGAGACTGGGCTAGTTGTTTATCCGGGCCCCCAGCCAGGCTGACTATCGGCACGGGTCGGATGACACCTTAGTCCGGCACCGGAGTGAGATTGTGGGAAGGGAAGTTGGTAGGTAATTGTGAGGGAAGAGGGGTGTGTGAGGCTACAATTTAAAGACGGCCAAACAAGCGTCTTATCAGTACACCGACTCCGGTGTACCCGCTGTTTGTCCGGGGTTGCTTATTAGCTTGCGCTTATTCACAACTAACCTTGCGAAGAAGGCCGTTCGCTATCCGCAACCTGCGACCCGCCTGGTGGCCTCAGCTAAGCCCCCCTTTGAACATCTCACTAGTTCGCAGGGAACAGGACAAAATTGTGTTAACATGCCATTTATTTCATTTAAACATGATTGATAAACTTTGATTTGGCTGTCTACTATTTGCCTGCAATATGGGCAGAGCAATAGAGACTTCGCCGCTTTCATTTTCATCACTTTGTAGCACTCAAAACATATTTTGAAGTGGCTACAAGGTAATAGTACCACATCACGCGGAGTGTCAAGGCAAATTATACATTTAAGAACTTCAACCATTTGACTGAAGTGTAAAGTATTGTCCTCATCTTCATCTTCAGTATTATCTGAGCATGACTGCTCTTCAAATGTGGTGTCCCACCTAATCAAATCCTTTTTTGATTAATTAGGCTGCCAAAAAACTCGTTTTGCAAGTTTTAAGAAATTGAGGGCGTTATGACACAGGTTGCAAATGTCATAAAGCCCACGGGCGCTGTGACATTTTCGGTGCGGGCGATATGACACTTTCAGAAGTGTCAGAACGCCCGCGGGCGCTATGACACTGGGCGTTATGACATGCACCCGAAAGAAAACACCTTCCCCGTCAAGATAAAATCGTTTTTGGCCATTTTATGCAGGTTTTACCGAAAACAAGAGTCATCAAATATGTCGAAAATGCATAAAGGTTAAACAACATCCAAAGCTAAGACGATTTTTCTATTCATTTTCCATATTTTCGACTATAGATCATATGGGAGCTATATGATATAGTTGTCCGATTTTGATCAAATTTAATTCATAATTCTAGAGTCGTAAGAAAACTCTATATTCATACTTGTCTGATGAAAAACAACGATGTTATAATTTTATTTTCGTTATTTTTATATAGATTTTTCGATCTTTTCTATGGCAGCTATAAGATATAGTTGTCCGATTTTTATGAAACTTTTTTCTCAGTATAAGAGTTGTTGAAAAATTTGATATTCAAAAAATCATGCTCGTGGGATAAAAAAAACAACGATGTTATCAATTTATTTCCATTAATTCTATATATATTTTTAGAACTCTCCTATGGCAGCTATATGATAGTTATCCGATTTTGATCAAATTAATCCGAAATTCAATACCAGTTCGAAAACGCCATCTTGAAGAAATCAAGTCGATGTGATCAAAAACAACGGCGTGAGAATTTTTTATTTCATTCTCTCGTATGGGAGCTATCCGATATAGTCGGCCGATCCGGCCCGTTCCGACTTATATACTGCGTGCAATAACTACACACATTTTGGGAAAGTTTCAGCAAGATAGCTTTAAAACTGAGAGACTAGTTTGCGCGAAACGGGCAGACGGACAAACAAAAAGGACAGATGGACAGACGGACAGACGTATTCCGATTCTACTCGTGATGGGGTCTGAGGTGTCTCCTTCACTGCGTTGCAAACTTCTGACTGAAATTATAATACCCTTTTGCTCTGCAAGGGTATGAAAAAACTTCCCGTAACCATTAAAAAGTTTTTTATTTTAAAATTAAATAATTTTTTTAGCAACTAAAAAATATGTTTTTATTAGTACATTATTTTTAAGTTTAAGAATTTAGCCTGCATGTTCAAACAAAAATAAAACTATTACGTTTTTCGATATGTTTCTTAATCTAAGTTTTAAATTTGTAAAATAAGAAATTATTAACAACTTTTGCTTTATTAAAAAACTTATACGGTTTGGCTATTTCGATTCCCTTTGGAATTTTCTGTAATTTTATTTTAAGCTTAAGTTATGGGGACGGAGAAACCTCCTTCTATGCATTAGCGACAGGATGCAGTTGAAGTTTGACAGACATGTGCATAATACATTTTTAAGTGAGGGTGGGTACACAATAAATTAATAGGTCTTATCTTATATATGTCTATATGCTTTTATTATGGATCTAGCGACGCTGATTATATAATAATTGTACTATACCTTAGCTATAATTTGTGATTACGCTAATATTACATGTTCATGCATATGGTTTGTTTCGCGCGTCCCCTGACTTAATTTTTACAATCATACAACTGCAACATAATCATTTTTCAAATTTTTATAAATGCGCGTCCTTACAGTTATGTGTGCATGCATGCATTTCCGGACTGTCATTTCAACCGATTAAACTGTTGAATAATTGTTGATTTAGTAGGTTATATTTTAAAAGCACATTTACATATATTAGTTCCAGTTTTTTAAAACATTTACTGTTGAAAAATGTTGGTATTATCCCATTCAAGCTGATTGATGTGAGCAAAGCCGTCCTTTAAAGCTGAAGAAAATACATTTCAAATAAAATTTATCATAAAATGTGAATAGTTACTGTACCTTCTTCATCTTCCGAGTCAGAATTTTCTGATTCCGAGCTATCCTCAGATGCTGCATCTGCTTGCAATGGATTTATAGTTATAGTCAAAGCTGAATCATCCCATACTAGGCCATCATCAACAATCTATAAAATGTATAATTAATTATTTGTAATGTTTTATTTTTACACTGGTCATCCGTGTTATAATATCAACTGTTCCAAGCCATCCATAATCCATGAACTTTCTTATCAAATAAAAAAATCATGTTTAGTAAGTTTTTTTCTATATTTATATATTTTTGTGCTACCAAGAAGTTCGTACCAACATTTTTATACCCTTGCAGAGCAAAGGGTATTATAATTTCAGTCAGAAGTTTGCAACGCAGTGAAGGAGACACCTCAGACCCCATAAAGTATATATATTCTTGATCAGCATCACCATCTGAATTGAAATATGTATGTACGTCTGTCCGTCTGTCTGTCTGTCCTCCTGTCGGTTTCTATGTAAACTAGTCTCTCAGTTTTAAAGCTATCTTGCTGAAACTTTCCCAAAAGTTGTGTAGTTATTGCACGCAGTATATAAGTCGGAACGGGCCGGATCGGGCGACTATATCGGATAGCTCCCATACAAGAGAATGAAATAAAAAAATTTTACACCGTTGTTTTTGATCAGATCGACTTGATTCCTTCCAGATGGCGTTTACTAACTGCTATTGAATTTCGGATTAAATTTTATCAAAATCGGATAACTCTATCATATAGCTGCCATAGGAGAGATCAAAATATATATATATAAATAATGGAAAAAAAATTATAATGTCTTTGTTTTTAATGCCACGAGCATGATTTTTGGAACATAAAGTTTTTTAAATACTCTTAAGTTGAGGAAAAAATTTCATATAAATCGGAGTACTATATCATAGAGCTGCCATAGGAAAGATCGAAAAATCTATATAGAAATAACGGAAATATAATTATAACCTCGTTGTGTTTCATCAGACAATAATGATTTTTGGAATATAGAGTTTTCTAATGAGTCTTGAGTTACAAATTAAATTTCATTAAAATCGGACGACTATATTATATAGCTGTCATATGAACAATATGGAAAATTAATAGAAAAATCCTCAAAGCTTCGATGCTCTTTAGCTTTTTTTTTTTTTTCTATTAATTTTACATATTTTTGACTATTGTTTATATTGCAGCTATATGATATAGTTTTGATGAAATTTCATACGTAAATCAAAAGTCGTTAGAAAACTCTATATTCCAAAACTCATGTTTGGCCGATGAAAAACAACGATATCATAACGTTGTATCCGTTATTTCTATATAGAATTTTAGATCTTTCCTATGGCAGCTATATGATAACGTTGTCGGAGTTTAGTGAAATTTTTTCTCGATTCAAGGGTTATTGAAAAACCGTCATTTTGAAAATCATGCTCGCGGGATTAAAAACAACGATGTTATAATTTTTGTTCCATTTTTTATATTTAAATTTTTTTATCTTTTCTATGCCAGCTATGTGATAGAGTTATCCGATTTTGATAAAATTGTATCCGAAATTCAATAGTGGTTAGGAAACGCCATATGGAAGAAATCAAGTCGACTTATATACTGCGTGGAATAACTACACACCTTTTAGGAAAGTTTCAGCAAGATTGCTTTAAAACTAAGAGACTAGTTTGGGCAGAAACGGACAGGAGGACAGACGGACGGACGGACAGACGTACAGACGTACAGACGTATTTCGATTCAGGTCGTGATGCTGATCAAGAATATATATACTTTATGGGGTCTGAGGTGTCTCCTTGACTGCGTTGCAAACTTCTGGCCAAAATTATAATACCCTTTTGCTCTGCAAGGGTATAAAAACAAATTAATAAATGTATAAGTGAAGCATTTAAAGGGGGATCTAAATAAATATAATTTTAATATGAACTTGTGCTTAAAATTTATTTTTTCTTTTTTCTTACTATTTACTTAAAGTTTAAGTACTATACAAACTATTTGTACTTACTTTTGGACATGGTTGGTGACGATCAGTATATTTTTGGTTGTTTTTTAAACGTGCAATAGATACGCCGCAAAGCAAAACAGCCAGAAATACACTCACAATAACTATTAGCATTGTAAGGTGAGAACCTTCGGCTTAAATTGTTTAAAAGTTTGTAAGTTAAATGATTATTTTTTATACTATAACTATATCTTGCTTGCCTTAATTGTCAATTCAAACTTACCTTTGTGTACGAACGAACGTACGTGAGATTTCGGTTCTTGCACATCGTTTGTATGCATTAAGGAATATGAATATACCTTTGAATCTAAAGATCAAAATAGAAAAATGAAGTACTTCTTATGTCTGTCTCATAAAACTTTCGTTATCTAAACTCACCAGTGGCCTGATTTTCGTTCTGGTTTGTTGAACCACCATTCGTGGGATAAATTGTTTCCGTGTTGGTATTGCCAACACCGTTGAGGTTGGATAAAGCCGACGAAGGTGTCAAATTTGTAGACTTAAACAACGTCTGTTTAGGATGCAGTACAGTGAGTGTAAGGGTGTATTCCGCACTTTTGTACTCTGAGCTAAGCTGAGCACAAGATAACTTAAAAACTCGATTGAGATAATAAGCCGGTTTCTTATTACTGTAGACAAGGGATCGTAACACATTTAAATAATTGTGTATGTTGTCCCTTCCTATCATTTCCACACCATCTTTATTTATATTTGTCTTTATATCCATTGTAGATGATAATGAATCATCGCCGTCTATTTGAATGTCTTCATGGTCCGGATTTAAAGAGGGAAACACAACAACGCTGCAGGAGTCCATATGATTTTTCTCCTCCCTTTTTCCGCTGTTTTTGGATAGCGCGTTAATGTAAATATTATCCAAAATATGAACGCCAAATTTAATTTCTTGATATGATACCAATTTATTTGAAGTTCCTGGAAATGATTAATTTTTTTTTATTAAAACTGGTTAGAATTGATGTTGGGTATTATTGCGAATTGACACAAAAACAAACAAAATAGGAAACTAGCTTCGGCAAGCCGAAGCTTATATACCCTTACAGACTTTGGTTACTGCAAGGGTATATAAGCTTCGGTTTAAAGTTTAGTTTAGTTTAGTTTAAAGTGTCACTTACCAGATATTGTTATTTTAGTGGAATATGATTGTCGATTTTGATCAAAGTTTTCCATCTGCAGGATTGAAATATACATATTAATGATATTTTTCATACATTTATTGCCAAATATTTATTTACCGACGTCGATCCTGCATCAATATTGGTACTCAGTGAAACCATTGGTTCGTTAACCATAATATAGGTCTCAATTGGCGGCAGGTGGAGAGAACTTTCATTTCCGCACGTTAGAGCTGTACGGACTTCAATATTACGACGACCTACTGTGGGGTTATGTTTAACATTGATATACTGTATTTTGCGCATCAATTGTTCAATATCGTGTTTTGATTTGGCTTCAACATAGATTTCGTTCATTTGAATGTTTGCTTGGATTTGAGTGTTTACAGGTTCCGAACTCTTTTTTGGGCTTTGCATTTGCTTAGGTGATAATAAGTGCTCAGCACAGGTGGTTCCGCATTTAATGTCTTCAGAAGTCAAAACACCGTTCAGGCTGACTTTAACCTCGGAAATGTCCCCATTAAAACCATGTTTTAAACGATTTTCCAAACTTTGGTAGCAAGCTCCGATAGCTAATGATGTATTAACTCCATGCGCAGCGTGTAAGGGCCAATCGTCGATTACTTCTGGGTTGCTGTGGCGATCCTCAACGGAACTCTCGAAACGGACGCCATCAATGAATAAATCTACCTTAGCCGGGTCTTCAACGTTAAGAACATAATGGTGCCATTCGTTGTCGCACACTTCAGGGATTTTCCAACGCCATTCAGCAGGACTGAATATGTTCAAATCACCTTCATTGAAGTTTTTTCTTAGTAAAAGAATAAGTCGACAATTCCGAACAAACAATGCCATATGATGGCGGTTCATTTTGTGGTCATCAGCACTGCAGATAATATGCTCCTTAACATGTTTATTAACCACACCTTGACTATTATGGCGAAACATTGTAAGAATACTAAAAGCACGAGTTGAGAAATCGTAATGGTCAACCACAGTGTCTGGAACCACTACTCCTGTGGACCCATCGAAGTGAAAAATGGATTCTGTACCTTCGTCATAACTTAACTCTTTAGTCCAATCTGCACCATGCGGCAAAAGATCCTTCATTTTTTTACTTGAAGTGCAATTCGTCATGTCCCGATCGCATCCGAAGGAGATGTGTTTTGTCTGAAAATGTATGTAGGTAAACGGTTTAACATTCAGAAATGCTTGAGTTTTTACAAGTTATCAGAATTTTACTTCTCAAACCTAAAGAAAAAAAAATTAGATATATTATAAAAGCTTTGGCTCGCCGAGGCTAGCTTCCTTTCTTGTTTTTTTATACATCCAATCGGAACTACCCGTTGAAGTCGTCGTTCCGACTTATATACTTTTGGCAAAGTTTCAGCAAGATAGCTTTAAAATTGAGACACTAGGTTTACATAGAAACAAGAATATGCATATTAACGATATGGGGTCTGAGGTGTGTTCACCTTCACTGCGTTGAAAATTTCTGACCGAAATTTGAATATCCTTTGCGAGGGTTTTTAGAATTTTTTTGTTTTTATTTTATGGTCGTAAATGGATAGAGGCACTAACCGAAAACATAGAAAAATGTATATTAATATACAATTTATTTAATCTTGGGCCAAAAACAATGAGAATCTATTTAGACTAAGCCTAATTTAAGAAATTAAACTCAAAACTTACCTTAAGTGTTATTGATGCATGAATACTTAGGTCTTTATTCTTGCAAGAAATATCGCACAAATCCAGACGAGCATTTGGAAACAATTGTAGGCTTTCAGTGCTACCGGACTAAGAATAAATAATTTAAAAGTCATATTTGTATAAGGCTCTTTGACGAAAAATACTTACGGTATAATCGATACGTTCTGGCATACTTAAAAACTTTGTTTCACACACCCGACGCACCTTGATGCTGACCATTATTGCTGCAGATTCTTTCATTGCGCAGTCATAAGCAACAACGGATAGGATGTGGTTATGTGAGGCCTTGTGGGAAAGAGGTTCTGTGTTCTTGATTGAGCCCTCGTTATCAATTGAAAACGGTTCATCATTATTAAGTATCTCATATTTGCAAACATCGCCATAAAGTGGAGTACAGTCCTTATCGGATGCTTCTACTCGCAAAATCTCGTTGTAAAGACGACCCTCGTCCACTTCAGTTACATACGACGGCTCTAAAAATGTTGGTGCATACTCATTTATGTCAATCACAGTAATATGCACATTGGCTGTGTTTGAAGGGGTTCCATCGCAATACACCGCAACGATTTCAAAGTGATAGCTTTTACGCTTTTCGCAATTTAATGTCCGTCGTGCTTTTAAAATTCCTAGGTTATTGACTAATTCAATCTGAAATAAAAATGTGCGACAACACTAGAGTGTATACCGAATATTAAACTTACCTCAAATGGAATTTCGTGATATGGCTTTTTGAGAATGTGAAAGTTACAAATTTTCTCTTCATCCACTTTAATTAGCGGAGTTATTTCCACAAGTGTTTCATTTTCTCGAATCAACCCATGGTACGACTTTTCTAATATAATTTCTAAAAAGATATAAAAATAACTACGTATTAAAAGGAAATACTACTTAATAGTATCCTAAAAGGTCAAAATGTATACCCGTTACTTGCGACTTATCGAACGGTCGGACGAGTCTATTTCTGTTTATCCGCATTTTTAATCATTTCTTTTTTAGCTTTTCTTGCTTTAAAAACGGACATACAAAAATAGATTCACACATCTGATTTCAAAAAATATGCATAAGTGCACTTTATGCGGTCGAAAGTGCTTTAATCCACCTTTTACATACTATTTAACTAATACAGAAAACTTTTCCCTCTACAAGTAACAGGAATAAATAGCTTTTGTTTTAGCGTTTACATGTATAAATTTATTATTAGTTTTCGCTACACCTCACGTTTGTCAAAATTGTTAAACTAATAATTCTTAGAGTAATGATAGGAGTACCAACCTTTTTGAGTTAAATATTCATCTTCATTTTCACTAGAGGTTAGAACTCCAGAAGCCAGCATTGCAAGCAAAACTACTGCGAGGAAAGTGCAGCCCAAATGTTTATATACCGTCATGGTTGCAGACGCGATTTTTTAAAAGGCGAAGGATGTATATTATTTTTATCTAAAAATAAAAAATTTTGTTTAACATGTTAAAAATGTAATACAAAGTGTTTTTGTTGATCAAGTGTACAATATTGATTATTAGAAATAAGAATCGAATAATTCGGAAGGCAAGCGGGCCTGGAGTCACGTTTGGGGCTTTGAGTGAAAAAAACATTTTCAAGTAGTAAAGATTTATTTTTTTTCTTATGGTATTCTACAAAACAGTGTTTATTCGCTGTGCAGCGTAAATGCAGATTGCATTTCGTGCATATTCATGAGAAAATGGAGACTGGCTTGCCCATTGCGGTGAAGATGCATTGTTGGTATTGATTGGACAACCCGGTAAGTTTTTGTTCTTATATGTCATCAGCTCTGCGGCTAGAGATTTCTCCGAGACGGCTTGACCGATTGACTAGAATTTTCACACGCTCTTCTTAGATATTTCAAGTAATGAAAAGTTTTTAGTATTTTTGATAATTTTGATCAGAGATATCTTCCTCACCGCAAAACTCCTTTTTAAAGTGGACCCTCAGGAATATCCTCTACAGCAGTATTTCCCTAAGTGTGGGTCGCGGGTAGATTTTTGGTGGGTACTAATTGCCATATAGATCTTTAAATTTTTTGTGTAGATGGGTCGCGGTCCCGACAAGTTTGGGAAACACTGCTCTACAGGATCGACGGAATCCAATATTGTTTTTTTCGATTTTTCGCCTATTAGGGGATTTTAGGCCTGACAGGGCAATTTTTTTAACTACTATCGAATTTCGAAATAAATTTTATCAAAATCGGATGACGACTCGTATATCATATAGCTACCATAGGAAAGATCGAAAAATCTGTATAGAATTAACGAAAATTAACGATAAAAATGATAACATCGTCTTTTTCCGTCAGATAAGCATTTTTTTGCGGCGAAATGAGTAATTATATTTTACCGACCTTAATTACATGTTATTGTTCAACTTTTGAAGAGTATTAGAAAAAAAAATTATTGAAAAATATTAAGAAGTAAGCCTGTGCCGGTTAATCTTCCGAAGCGCCTAAAGAGAAAGTTGTTTTGCGGTGAACACCATAGGACGTTAACGAATCGGCTCGAAGCTAGCTTTTCTATGGGAGCTATCCGATATACTCGTCCGATCCAGTCCGTTCCGACTTACTATATGCATACCGTGTGCAATAACTACACAACTTTTGGTAGTTTCAGCCAGATAGCTTTAAAACAGTGAGGCGGACAGATGTAGGTACATGTTTAGATCTATTTAGGTAGTGATGCTGATCAAAAATAAATATATGTATGTATGTATTTAAATATCTGTAGTTGATGGGGTCTGTAGTGACTCCTCCACTGTGTTGCAAACTTCTTCAAAGGTATAAAAATAAAACTAGCTTCGGCTAGCCTAAGCTTACATATGTATGTATATATGTATGTATGTAGATACATATATACCCTTGCAGTTAGAACTTCTCCCTAACAAGATATTTCTTTATAATGATATACAAACATTAAATCAAATGTTGGCAAGTAGTAGTTTTTCACTAAAAGCAGGTACCGATTGAGTTCTCTCAACTTCCAAGAGATTTGTCAAAGTAAGCATGCGAACATGTCTAGTAGTTTAGCATTTTATAAATAAACTACTGTTCAGTAGTCAGTTATAAAATAATTATAATCCACCTTCGGTAAAATCACAAAAGTTTTGGTTTTATACTGTTTATTACAAATTTATAAAATTAAAACAAAAATCTTCTTGTATCTACATACATACAACTAACACACATATAGTCATATGTAAATACTGCGACATATGCATGTTTGTATCCATGAGATACACATTCTGCAATGGATGTACTCAATTTTCTATCTTTCTTTAGCAATAGTTAAACTCAAACTCGTACATGGTGCTTTGTTTACTGCATTATGTTCATACTCTAGTTAAACCTCAACAACGGTTTTAACATCTATAAGATACATATATTTAGTACACTCAATAATAAGTATCTTTGAGATAAAAATCGATATTACTTGTCTAACCGAAATTCTTACTTCTTTGACAGTAAAAATGCGCCCAGTTACGTTATAATAAACACTATAGAGTTAACTACAGTTTTTTTTCACTATCCTGGTTATGTTTATCCGACATTTTTAAATAATTGTGGACAAACTATGAATGCTGAAAATTGACTAAAATATACCAACATTTTACAGGGCTGCGTAATAAAAGCGAGATACTTTTCTGAAGATTTTGGTCAGTTAATTCCTGTTAGATTCTTCACATTGGAAGGATAGTCCAGAGAAAAACAACGTTCGCGCTAAAATAATATCTAGTACTGTTTTATTTACAGTTGTGCCTTCTTTTTCCTAAAAGTATGTTTGCGTAATTGTGTAAAATAACACGGTTACACAGTGTTATCGAATTCTAGCAAGATAAGGGTGCAATTGTGAACTATGTTATCGAGATTACACACTAGCGCGTTTTTTTTGTTAGTATATACAGTAGAATCCGGTTATAGCGTCTTTCAAGGGACCAACGATTTTTCGTCGTTATACCCGGAAATTTTCAACATTTTTATGGGCTCCCCCCTTACATTTTTTGCAAAATCGGATTTTCCATTTTTTCGTACCTTTTTTTCGGTAAAACCTGCATAAAATGGCCAAAAACGATTTTATCTTGACGGGGAAGATGTTTTCTTTCAAGTTGCATACCAGCTTTTTTAAATTTCAGAAAATAACATTTTTCGAAATTTTCATGGGGGAGTCCTTACACTTTTTGCAAAATCGGATTTTCTATTTTTTCGCCCCTTTCAAAATTTGCACAAAATGGATCTGCAGAAAAATTATCAGATCCCAGCACTTTTAGGCGCATAACTTTTCTAATTTTTATTCGATTTACAAGTGGCATATCGCCCTTATGCATTTTGATCGAATGCAAGGGTATATAACCTGCGGCTTGCCGAAGCTAGCTTCCTTTCTTGTTTTTTTTTAAGTTCAGCGCTCTACTTAGTATACAAATATTCTTTAATATTTCCTTTTGCAAAATCTGCTGTCATTTCTTTGTATTTTATTTTAATTTTCGAGTTGTTCGAGTTGTCTGGAAAAATAGTAGTCTTTGGGTTATCGGTATGTAATTTTAACTGTCTTCTTGTGCACAGTGTACTGTTGCATCTACACTGTAGGCTGCTTCTGCTAACAATTTTTTCTTTTACTTTCGCTTAAGATAAAGCGTCGGCTACATAGTTTTCTTTTTCCGGTAAATATTTAATTTCGTAATCAAATTCATTTAATTTAATTTTCCATTTTTCTAGTTCCATATTTGGTTCTTTTATTAGCCATGCTAATGGACGGACAGACGTACAGACGTATTTCGATTCAGATGGTGATGCTGATCAAGAATATACTCGTATATACTTTATGGGGTCTGAGGTGTCTGCTTCACTGCGTTGCAAACTTCTGACTGAAATTATAGTACCCTTTTGCCCTGCAAGGGTATAAAAATGTTATCCTCGGTGATCCGAGGCTAATATGCCCTACTGGCGAAGTTTTAAAAGTTTAAATAAATAAAATTAAAATACATATTATATTTAATGGAAATTTATTTGAGCTTAGCGAATCCTGCAAAGGAATTGCTGGGGAAATTAATTCGAACTTCCATAGGAATTCATTTTTTGGTAACTCCTGGCCACGTCCACACCCTTTATACAACTTCATCGCCCTGTTGTATTGATTCCTGGGCCTTCCCCAAAGAATGCCCCAGGATCCCTGGGAGAAGGGTATTGAATGGAGGACCAGATTTGGAATTATACCGCCAATATAAGTCAAAGCTCAAGCACTTTTTGGCTTCCTAAAGCTTAAAGCGAATAGCTTTTAAAAGGGCTTTTCACAATTTTTTTGGTAATGGGGTTGGTTCTTCTATATTTTCTTTTTAGTCGTGTCTAATCCGTAGCCTTTACCAGTAAATGTTTACGTTTCATGTGTTGAACAATATTATTTGTATCAACACGTTCAGTATTATTGTTTTTCAGTTACGGAATGTGTGTCTTATGTTGCTAAGCCATAACAAAAAATGGTAAGGTACCCTTTACACCCCCTATTTCATATTAATACTTTTATAATGATTAGATACGAAAAAAACGCGGTACCATAATTACAAACAACATAATAGACCAAAGTACTCTTAACAGGGTATGTTTTTCATGCATAATATTATCACTTGTCTTAATTGCAAAAGCGTTGCCGCCAGTGATACGCGTTGGTAAGTTATAAGTCGATATTAAAATTGTTTTGGCTATCATACACAATTCGTTGCTCTACTAGGTGCCATATTTACCGAGGATGAGCGTGAAAGCAGTATAGAATCAGCATTTAAGTATGCAATATACCGTATCAACAAGGAAAAAACTCTTCTTCCCCATACACAGCTTGTATACGACATTGAATATGTACCGCGAGATGACTCCTTTCGCACCACTAAAAAAGTTTGCCGGCAGTTGGAAGCAGGAGTCCAAGCAATCTTTGGACCAACAGATACTCTTCTTGCTGGTCATGTGCAATCCATATGCGAAGCTTATGATATACCCCACATCGAATTCCGAATTGATCTTGAATATAATTCTAAAGAATTTTCAATCAATTTGTATCCATCGCATACTCTTTTAACTCTAGCATATAGAGATATAATGGTGTACCTAAACTGGACGAAAGTGGCTATTGTTTATGAAGAAGATTATGGTAATTTAAAAGTACTGTAGACTAAGATACTATTTTTAGAGTACAAGGGATTGTTCTATTCGTTAAAAGTAAATCGAAATAATATTATTGAACGATTTATTTTTTTTTTTAATTTTATGGTAACTACTCGAATACTCTGTGTTGACAACATTTTGTTTTTTAAAACTTGTATTAAAGATAGCCCTTGGTAAGTGACGCATGAATATTTTTCAATATTAAAAAGGGCTTATACGCGTATTTAATGTTCTTTCATTCCTTATTAACATCTCGAAAACAAAGGTAAATATATGGATTTTCTTCTTTTTTTTAGGTCTCTTTAATCTGATGCACTCCTCCACTGATACAAAAGCAGAAATGTATATTAGGCAAGCAAGCCCAGAGTCCTATCGGCAAGTCTTACGAGCAATCCGCCAAAAGGAAATTTACAAAATAATAGTGGATACAAACCCGTCTCACATAACAACTTTTTTTAAATCCGTAAGAAAACTTTATTATTTCACTTAATAATAAATTTTAAGGGTTTTTGTCGTTTAAAAAATACTAATAATAGTTTACGTAACGCATTTTTTAGGCTAATTTTGACCCGAGTGTAACAAGTCTCCCCCAGTGTAACAAATCATAACGTTTCGGCCGAATCTTATATCCGAAGATTTAATATATTTTAGATATTGTATATATTAAGTAGTCCTTGCTGGTATTTACACCAAAATCCTAATTATATCAAACATTTTTTACTGTATATTTTCAGATTTTACAATTGCAAATGAATGATCATAGATACCATTATATGTTTACAACATTCGTAAGTACATTATGATGAATCTTGTTAAACTAATAAATCTTAAAATCGTAATGCTAAAATATACACTACATTTTTGTAAATGCTAAAAAATCGTCCTAAATAATATCACCAAAAATAAATTCTAATCGATTTGTGGCCTGCGGTCCCCTTGTAAAAAACTAAACGCACGAGTAGGTTTATATTATATAATATAATTTTCTATCTTTTTTATGGCAGTTATTGTATTTGGGATTCTTAGAATTATTATTTAAAATTTTTATGACAAATCTGATTGTAAATGCATATTAAGTTCGGCTTCTCAAAGAAATTTTTAATCTTAAAATATTCTTTTTTTCCGATAATTATAATAATGTATTTTTTCAGGACCTGGAGACATATGACTTAGAGGATTTTAGATACAATAGCGTAAATATAACAGCGTTTCGATTAGTCGATGTAGATAGCAAGAGATATCTCGATGTTATCGACCAAATGCAAAAACTACAACACAACGGACTAGAAAACATTAACGGAATTCCCTACATAAAGGTAAAAAAATATAATTATTTTTTTTAAACAAAACTTTTAATTTGTTCCTTTCTTTTTAGACAGATTCTGCTTTAATGTTTGATTCGGTGTACGCCTTTGCGTCTGGGTTGCACTTCTTAAGTTCTGATAGTCCCCCAAATGTATCCATTAAAAACATTTCGTGCACTTCCGATCAAACATGGGATGATGGAATTTCATTGTATAATCAAATCAATGCCGTAAGTATATACTGTATCAATCTTTAATACATTTGACATTCGAGCAGAAGAAAAGATAGGTTCTTTCAGTCGCCGAAATTATACTAATACAGGGTGACACAAAATTATTTTGAATCTTTAATTGATGAATAAAAGAACAAATTATTGCAACAGGTAAAAACGGTTGGTTGTTTTCAAAACTAGATAAAATTATTATCTATTATTAATTGAACTTATTTCAAATTATTTATTTTTAGGCTATTACCGACGGGTTAACTGGAAATGTAGATTTTGTGGAAGGTCGTCGAAACAAATTCAAGCTTGATATTCTAAAATTAAAGCAAGAAAACATTCAAAAGGTCGGATACTGGAAGCCCTATGCCGGTGTTAACATTTCAGACCCAACTGCATTCTACGATTCTAATATCGCCAATATAACATTGGTTGTTATGACCAGAGAGGTTGGTATAAATAAAAAATGTACTACTAAATATGTTTATAAATATTTGATGACTGCAAGGGTATATGAGCTTCGGCTTGCCGAAGCTAGCTTCCTTTCTTGTTATATTATTAACATTTTTTTAGGAGCGCCCGTATGTTATGGTTAGAGAGGATAAAAATCTTACGGGAAATTTTAGGTTCGAAGGATTTTGTATTGATCTTCTCAAAGCAATCGCTCAACAAGTTGGATTTCAATATAAAATAGAACTAGTTCCCGATAATATGTACGGAGTTTACATACCCGAGACAAATTCATGGAATGGCATTGTTCAAGAATTAATGGAAAGGGCAAGTATAGACCTTTTTATCCTTTATGATAGCTTCATCATTGGATGAAGTTAAACCCCTGATAACTAATAATTTATTATAATAAACAAAAAATAATATATCTTAGCGAGCTGATCTTGCTGTAGCTTCAATGACGATAAACTACGCTCGAGAGAGTGTAATAGATTTTACAAAACCATTTATGAATTTGGGCATCGGAATATTGTTCAAGGTAAGACCTGTTTCATATTTCCTTTTTTATATTAAAAAACGTAGTTAAGGAATTTGCATTCTTGTAGACACTTATTTTAAAATTCCCTTCACCTATGTGGGTAAATTTAATAGGTGCCGACAAGCCAACCCACACGACTGTTCTCCTTTATGAACCCTTTGGCAATCGAGATATGGCTTTATGTGCTAGCTGCTTATATATTAGTTTCCTTCGCGCTCTTTGTGATGGCTCGGTTTTCTCCATATGAGTGGAAAAACCCACACCCATGTTACAAGGAAACGGATATAGTGGAAAATCAATTTTCCATATCAAACAGTTTTTGGTTTATAACAGGAACATTTTTACGCCAAGGATCTGGACTTAATCCGAAGGTATTCACTAATGCTATCTTATATTGTTAGGATTATTTATACTAATGTTGTGCTTGTCTTTTCCTTATGTTTTTAAGACTGGAATAACAAAGTTCAATATAATCATTTTTATTGTATTTCAGATTTCAGATCGAGCTCAGACAAAATTTTTTTCGTTTATGAATCCACTTGCGGTTGAAATTTGGTTTTATATTGCGTTTGGATACATTTTTGTATCAATCTGCATTTGGATTGTTGCTCGGTTATCACCGATTGAATGGGTTAATTCAAAACCACCCTGTTCAATGGCTTGTGATCACATATTGCACGAAATTCAAAAAGAAAGTTTCTTTAGCGAGCAGTTGGAATTGAGGAAGAGCAAAAAAATGTCCGAAAACGAATTGAGTTCACATTGCATAATGAGCAAACCAAATGACTACATTGAAGATGATGATCCTATATGTGGACATGCTATGAACCCTTTACCACTATCTGACGATGTACAGGAAGATGGCTCGGACGATAACACAGTGGATTTAATTCGAATACATAACAATTTTACTTTAAAAAATTGTTTTTGGTTTGCTATTGGAGCCCTTATGCAGCAAGGTTCTGACTTATATCCTAGGGTACGATTAAAAAACATTCTAAAAAAAATAATGCATTAAAGGGGCAAGAATGAACAGAGCAGCCAAAAAAATTGTCCATTTGAATTACGGTGCTAGACTACTGATTTTATTATAGAAGGGATTATGTTAGTTTAATCCCCGCAGCCTTAAATTCATAAACACCAAAAATCACTTTAAGGTAGCCATAGAAAAAAATCTCGTTTCAAAAGATGTTCAAATGATATTTTCTTATAAATACTTAATTTTTAACTGCAATGCTATACAAGCTTTGGTTCTCCGCCGAGGCTAGCATTTTTATAGCTTACAGCCTGAAAAGTATTATAACTACTTTTACGATAACTTTTGTTTTTTGACATTTATTTTTATTTTAGGCAACATCTACTCGCATTGTTGGTGGATGTTGGTTTTTTTTCTGTCTAATAATTATATCGTCGTACACTGCCAACTTAGCTGCATTTTTAACTGTCGAACGGATGATCTCGCCTATAGAAAGCGCTTCTGACTTGGCGGAGCAAACAGAAATATCATATGGCACTTTGGAAGGTGGTTCAACAATGACATTTTTTAGGGTAAATATATCTGAAAGTGAAGAAAAGTAAAGTCCTATTTAAGTATTTCATATTTTAGGACTCAAAAATCGGTATATATCAAAAAATGTGGCGCTATATGGAGAATCGTAAAGGAGCTGTATTTGTTAAAACCTACGAAGACGGAATAAAACGTGTAATGGAAGGAAGCTATGCGTTTTTAATGGAATCAACCATGCTAGATTATGCCGTTCAACGTGATTGTAATCTAACCCAAATAGGCGGCCTGCTAGATTCAAAAGGCTACGGTATCGCAACGCCTAAAGGATCCCCTTGGAGGGATAAAATTTCACTTGCTATTTTGGAGCTTCAAGAAAAAGGCATAATTCAGATATTATATGACAAATGGTGGAAAAACACAGGAGACGTTTGCAACAGAGATGATAAAAGCAAGGAATCAAAGGCCAATGCGCTTGGAGTAGAAAATATTGGTACGAGTTTTTGTATGGTTTTCATTAAAAAAATTTCTTCCCTACAGCACATATTTGAACAACCTTAATAGATTGCCCTTTATATTTCCCTTTAACTTTGAAACAATCATTTTCAATTATACAAAAATATCTCCGCGCTATCTGCTCAATTTGCCATTCATTTTTATAGCCAAGCAGACGGTGTTAGTTTCAGTTTTTTATTTTTGAAACACAAATTCCATGTTTTTTTTTTAAACTTCCTTTCATGGAAAAACTCTAAACTACTTGGTTTTGTTTGAGTGTACGGATACTGTCGGTTAGCACATATTCAGAGACTGATCGCGGCGGACGTTTTGTGATTTGACATACTTGTTGGGTTTGATTTTAGTCGATTTGTAGAACTAGAAGTAAGCAAAATGTTGCCGGAATAAACGAAAAAACAGTTTTTTTATTATAAGCGAGATTTTCTTTTCCTGTTTTAGGTGGCGTATTTGTTGTCCTTCTTTGCGGACTTGCCCTTGCTGTTGTTGTGGCTATATTCGAGTTTTGCTGGAATTCCCGAAAAAATTTGAATACCGATAATCAGTCACTGTGTTCAGAAATGGCACAGGAGCTTCGATTTGCAATGCACTGCCATGGATCAAAATCAAAGCACAGGCCACGAAAACGGAATTGCCAAAAATGCGCTTCTGGACCAACATATGTTCCGAGTAATACGAGTACGCCAAATATGAGCGTGCACTATAATTATTTTAATTAAATTATTTATTGTTTTAATTCTACAGCTTAAAATAAAAAAACATGTAAAATCAGTTTGCTGAATTTTGTGTATTTTCAAATTAGAATAATTTGGTTTAGAGAGTCGGATTGCACTATTTCGATCAACTATATTTGACGTTGATGCACCATGTTCAGCATAAAAACGGGATCGTGAAAGTTGAGGGGAAAAGATAAACCAAGAAAGGAAGCTAGCTTCGGCAAGCCGAAGCTTATATACACTTGCCGAAGCTTATATGCACTTGTAAATCGAATAATTAGAAAAATTATGCGCCTAAAAGTGCTGGGATCTGATAATTTTTCTGCAGATCCATTTTGTGCAAATTTTGAAAGGGGCGAAAAAATAGAAAATCCGATTTTGCAAAAAATGTAAGGGGGGAATCCATGAAAATTTCGAAAAAAATTATTTTCTGAAATTTAAAAGAGCTGGTATGCAACTTTGTTATAGCTCTAGAAACATGAAAGAAAACACCTTCCCCGTCAAGATAAAATCGTTTTTGGCCATTTTTAAAATGAATAGCACCGGGTTTATAGCGTTCTATGCTATATGTCAGGAATTTGTTTATGTACGATCATATTATATATAATTTTATTTTGTCAGAATATATATAATATACAGCATATTTTACAATAATTTTTTTATTTAATCATGTGTTAATTTTCGATTTCTTAAACACCAACCATGCGTAGACAACTTTAGGACTTTTAATTGAATTAAACTTAGCATATTCTTATGTCATCTTTGTATATAATTTTATATTATACTTATATTATACAATTCTACATTATTGTCGCAGAGCTTACAAATATGTTTTTATTGTATTTGTTACAAGCACTAAAAACACGTACACGAAAGCTAAAAATTCCAGCGTAAAACAGCACATATTAATGAATGTCGATGATAGATTTTTTTGTTGTCTGGTGCGACAAGTTGCAAATAATTTTTTAGGCAAACATAATTAACAGAGCCGATTAACAAGTTGCAAAGGATTGGTATATGAAGAAGTATATATAAAACACCATTTTTGAAGTTTAAAAAGTATTTGACAGATATGTAAAAGCAGGGCTGTGAAGCCAAGTAATTTTGGCTGCGGAACTGTGCTTATGGTGGAACAAATTTCAGATTTGAACTGTGGTTTCAAATTATAATCATTTTTTTAAACCATTTTAAGACAACAACAAGATGTTCTAACTTTAACTTAACATGTGTATTAAATTACTTCCTTGAAAAAGAGATCTTTATTTTTTTGATTGTTCCGGTTGGGTCCATACAAAACATAAATTACAGATTCGGTTTAGGGCTCGGTGGAAAGGGTTAAGCTTCGGACTAATTCATAGCCCTGTCTATAAATTGGTATGATGAACTGGGATATTAACAAAAATACTGATATTAAACACTAAGCTAGCACTGGGCCGAACTTTTCAACCGAATATCAACCTACATACATACATATGATTCTTAATATAATTTTTTGTATATACAAGTTAATAGTTTATAAAGCAAAACAATATATTTTTTGTTAAAAAGTTATATAATAGTTCGATATGTTAAATATTTGATGCGTTATCGCATTTGCTTGATCTTTTCTAGTAAGCTAGTTTACACCAAATTAAAACACGACAAATTACAAATAAACATTTGTAGCACGTCGCACTTAGACTAAATTTAATATAAAAAAATGATATTTAGGATTGGACACGCAGGCACGTGCATCTGAGTAATAATAATAATAAGTAAAATGACATGTATATTATGTAGAGATTTCACGATCAAAAATTGCTATAATCACTTTTTATTCAATTTTATTAGCTTAGTGGTGATTGGTAAAGTTTTAGCTTAAACTTAGTCATGGAGCACATTAACTATAATATTTCAATATTTTTTAATGATTGAAGTGTGGGTAAGTGGAGTGTAATGATTTATTTGTAGCCAACCTTTTTTTATGCACCCAGTCTAGGCTTCGGGTTGGTATTATTATTATTATCACTTTTTGTTTCCGAAAAGTGATCTCTACTTAAAGATCGTGATATGTTTTCAGTTGTTTAGTAAACTTTGGTTTTATATATTTTTTTATTTAGGTACTTCCGCAAAATTGAAATTCTTTATCACTAAAGATTTCTCGGAATTTAAACTGACTGTATAAGCCAATTACATCTTACTTGAAATTGATTGTTATTGGTTGGAAGCATTTCGTTGGAGAAATTATAAACGTAAAACAACTAAGCGCGTAAATGTTTTCTTAAATTTTTCATTGAGTTACAGAACTATTGTACTTTCCATCAAATTTTTAAGATAAGAATTGGTGGCCGGTATAACTTTAATTGTTAGCATCTTTACTTTTTTATATTTACTGTTTTATAATTTAAATGAAATTAGCTACACCAATATTTAAAAAATTGAACAGGAAAAGTTTTCAAAATGATATAGAAAAAAATGTTTTTTTTTTTGTTGCGTCAAAGAGATACAAATTTCGTAAATTCGAATATCATTAAAACAAGGCATTTCATAACAATGTACATATTAAAATAATTTAAAATACCACAGCTTAATTTTAAAGTGGAATCCTTTTTTTAATTTTAAAGTGGAATCCTTTTTTTCAAAGTATTTTCAGAATTTTACCATTAATAATTTCTTAAAATACAAAAGAATACAATAATTTGTGATTCGTGAAAATGTATTTACATTTCTGTAAGTTTTAAAACAATTTGAATAATAATGGTTTTAAAAAAATTTAGTTCCACGTTAAAACCAAACCGAAACTTGATAAATAATCTGAACTGTCTTTGTTAGCAAGGCATAATTTTGTTGGTATGCTACATTTCTCATGTTAAATTGTATAGTATGTACAATATAGATTTTATTAGAAACGAAAAAAAGTACGGGGACAAAGTTGAAATAAGTGAGTTTTTAATAGTTATTGAAGTCGTACAATCCCAGTTCAAATTCATTACTGTTAGGTTTTTTCTCAATTAACATCTTTAAATTGTCGACGTTTTCTACATTTTTAACATAGTTGTCAAATTGTGGTCCAATAAAATTTTCAGGTGTTTCCAGATGGTGCCTTAACTCTTTTTCTTTATTTTGTGTAGAGGTTTCTAAAGGCCATTTTGTTAATCCTCGTACGTAGCGCTGAAAATTGTCATTTACTGGCGGCTTTTTAAGAGAAAACAAAATATTAGTTTTGTTTATAAGGGGTAAATATGTATTACATTTTTAATTGAAACAATCAACCAGACATGGTGAAAACTTCGGCAAGCCGAAACTATTGTATACTTGCAGTTAAAAATTGAAATCTAGAAAAAAAGCCTTGTTTATGATTCAGGGTCTGATACTTACAATGTCAGCAGAAAGCTTTGGTGTTTCTTTAAACATAGAATGACAATAAATGGAATTTAAAACACAGCATTCTCTTAAGTATCCGTTAATTCCCGGCAGCTCAAATAACATACTACATGACATAGCGAGAAGGAAAAGCTATTGCTAAAGTTTTATCGGAATTGCTTTAAATCTAAGTGACTTATTGGCGAAGAAACGGAGAGACTGACTGAATTGCAAGGCTGTATTGACTCGTCTGGTAATGCTGACCAAGAAATTAATGCTCTATCGGACCGAAACGGTTTTCTTAACTGCTTTGCAAACATCTGATAAAAATGAAAAAACCCTGTGCAAGGGTAAATAGGAATCGTTTTATTTATCATTTACCTCTTTGAAAAGTGATCGATTTCGTTCTCTAAAGTGAGATTTTCGAATAGGGTATGTTCTTGGAATACCAATAATGGAATAGTCTCTTTCGGGAACATCACTAGAAAATAGTTCAGTTGCTGGCAACTTTATGCGAGCTGCTCGATTTGCTTGACTAATGCCGTTTTTCCCAAAAAGTAATGCTTTTATTTCTTTATTGGCTTGACTTTCTTTTTTATTGTAGGATGGTGAATTGCCAATTCGACGTGTAGTGGCTTTAATGCCACTCTTATGTCCATTTTTATTATTTTTATCACTTTGAAAATTTTGTTCATTTAGAATTGACATTCGGTTTATGTCACTTAATTGGTAACTGTTTCCGTCAGGGCTTCGATTTTCATCCATTAATATAGAATCAGAACTCCCTAATTGAGGAACATAATTGGCTAGTATGCTGAAAATGAAATAATTTAAGTAAAAAAAAAATTTTGTTAATGTCTTGTGTTTTACTACGCTTACTTTTTTCCGTTAGCAATTTCTTTGAGTGCAGCCGCGCGCGCCGCCAACTCTTCATCTCTTCGTTGCTCTGTTAACTCCTTAGCTCTCTCAGTCCATATAAGTTCCTTAAGCTTTTGAAAACTACCTTGTATAGCAACAGAATTTTGACTTTCTTTCGCATTAACTCTAGTACCATTTGGGACACCCATGTATCGATTTTTACTTGACCTACGTGATGACAAAGAAGCTCCCTGTTGTGGTCGCGTCTCAGCTCCATAATATCGATTTTGACTTGAACTAGGACCACTAGATCCAAATTCAACCAATCTCTGATGGTGTTCAAATGGAATCCGTTGGGGCGTATTTGGCTCTCGGCTAACAACTCGGCCAAAAACAGGAGATCTCGCTCTTTCCTTGGCGCTCATCCTTAGTCTAGTAAATGATAGGAAAAAAATTATGAAGTTAACAACTATTAAGAAGCGAGTGCTGTTTCCACTATTAAATACCACTCCTTTGATTACATTATAAAGGCAAACTTTCCTTTATCTGTTATAAAATTGCACCATTCAAACTGTGTGCGCCACAATTACTTGCCGCAAATTGGTAATAGCGTGCACGTTAAATTTAATAGTAACCTTTCTTTGCGATTTTGTTAGTACAATTATTTTCTTGATCCCAATAAACACTTTATTAATTATATAAATATGCCTTGATATTTCGATATTCGTGGGTAACAAAAAGTTAAATTTTCAAGAAAAAGTATATGTATACCTACATATGTATATTATCAAAATCGGATAACTCTATCATACAGCTGCCATAGGAAAGATCGAAAAATATATACATATATACAACTAATTTATGCTCTGAGGTGTCTCTTTGACTGAGTTGCAAGCATCTTATTGATTCATTATACCTTCTGCAGGGTTACAAGAATAAAATCAAAAATTGACGTGGAGCGATTCATGATGTTAGGTAGACAAATGGCTGACAGGAAATGAAATTTAATGAAAGGGCCATATATATAAATTATATCGTTGGATATTTGGACCTAAGAAAAATTAAATTAAATTATGTCATTATTACTTTATCTTTGCAAACACATTTGCTTAGTTTTTTCGACACCTTATCTGCGAAAAACGCGTTTGGTTTTAATAGTTACTTAAAGGTATGTTTAAGAGTGAGTTTTTTTCAGTTTTTGAATGAGAAAAATACTTACGACCCCAAAAATTGCGAGTTTAAAAAAAGAGGTTCCCAGACATTATAGGTGAAGGGATCCCGATACGTTGGTATTTCATTCGTAATTTCTGCCGCTCGGGACTGCCTTTTTGAAAATCTAAAATCACATTAAAAACATACGTTTTTCACAAATGGTTGAGGTGTTATTCTGCAAAACTTACATCCACATAGCGCGAAGCTGTTCGCATGTTGGCTCCTGTGAGTTTAGTGAAAATGTTTTCGGTACAAACACTTCTCCACCGATATGTGATGATTCTGTTTCAGTTTTCACTCCATTGTTACTATTTAAATTTCTTTCCCGACTTCGAGTGGCGAGGTAATTTGCACTTCCTAGCCTTATGGTTGCCAATATTACCAATACATAAAATTGAATACACGTGATCTGTAACAATAAAAGGTAAGTGAATTATTTTTTTATTAGCAGTTCAAAATTATTATGTTCTTCCTTAGTACATGATATACATTAAACATCCCATCATATACATATATATCAATAATGGTTTTTGATTGAGCCAAAACTTTTCTTTTTATACTTTGGTTGTTTATTTTGAATCTTCTCTTGCGAGACTAACAAAATTTGGTAAAATCTTAATGTACTACATTATTGTAACAGTTTGTTAAACTATATTTATGTTAGACTGTCCTAATAATGGTCGCTGGATGGGACGCTCGTTATTGGATAGCTCCAATACGAGAGAATGAAATTAAAAATGTTCACGCCTTTGTTTTTGATCAGATCGACATGATTTCTTCCAGGTGGCGTTTCCTAACTACTATTGAATTTCGGAATAAATTTGATCAAAATCGGATATCTCTATCATATACATAGCTACCACAGGAGAGATCAAAAAAATATAAATAAATAAAAAAAAAAGGTACGAAAAAATGAAAAATCCGATTTTGCAAAAAATGTAAGGGGGAGCCCATAAAAATTTCGAAAAAAATTTATTAAGTCTTTTCATTATAAATTATGCTGAATTCTTTTCACTTTGACATTTGGACGTCAATTCCATCCAGAGCAGCCAACCTGAAAACTTAATTTGAATTTAAATTTTGTATGTTGCTTTGCGCCAAAACCACTTATTAAATACATTTTCCCTTCTTTTTGTATACATACCAATATGCAACTGCAACCCATTTTTGAACTGTGAATTTAGAATCCCGGAGTTGGCACCAAATATTAAAACGCCTTCCGTGCTTGCATCAGATTGATATGTATTAAAATACGTGGTGGTAGCCTCTGTTTTTTTGGAAAAAATTTAAACGATATATGTATAAGAAAGTATTCAATTTGATAAAAAATGCTTATTATATATGCTACTCATGCCAATAAAAATAACATAACCATTGCAAATCATAATATATCTTTTAAAAGTTTTTTTGAAATTTTTTGTTTGGGAATTTTAGGATGTGTTTAAATTTAATTCGAAAAATTCCTAAAAGTTCTCGACTTGTGTCGAACAACAGAACAATTAACGTATCAATATCCGATTAATATTTGTTAAAAGAAACCCTCATAACAAATAAGCAACATTTATTTAGATCTTAATAACAGCTGTTTTGTACTTTAATTAAATCAATTGAATACGCAATGTTTAAATCGAAGTTTAAGTTAGGTCAGTTGATTTTATTATAGAATAATTATTTTGAGAATAGAACTTCCACATCACTCCTCCTATTAAAGTAATATTATTTAAACATCCAGAAAGAGATCATGGACTTTACTGTCGTTATACATATTCGGTATAGCTTAAATTGTTATACTGCTGGAATTGTTAAAAAGGTTAAAATCTCGCGAGGCGTCGCCTTATAAGTTTAAGGTCCATAAGGTTCCAATTTTAAAACATTTAAACATAACCTTTTTAAAAAAGGTTAAAAAAGGATTGACCTCAAAATCACTGTGGGAGACCTCTTGCGTAATTACTTACTCATCAATAATTAAATCCTCTTTACTTAAGAAATTCATTTAGCATACACACTTGTATATGTAGCTCCCAAAAAAGAAATAAAGAAAAATAAAAAAAAAAACTAGCTTTGGCGAGCTGGAGTTTATATACCCTTGCAGACATCACCAATGTCAAGCCAAAACGGATAAAGGTTAAACAATATCGAAGCTATGGTATAACAATTTTTACACATTGTTTATATTCTCGCCGATTGTTTCTATAACAGCTATACGATATAGCTATTCGATTTTCATCAAATTGGATTCAAGAAACATTGGAAAACTCTGTATCCAAAAAAACATGCATATATGAAAAAACCATGGTGTTATAATTTCGATCCCATCATTTATAGTTTTTGTTTAATATTTCATAGGCCAGATACGGTATAATAGTCAGATCCCACCATCTATAGTTTTTGCTTGACATTTCATAGGCCAGATATGGTATAATAGTAAGATTTTCAAGAAACTTTGTTTTTAGATAATCGTAGTTTAAAAACTCTATATTTCAAAAACCATACTTGTGTAAGGTTAAATTATATCGACTTTTCGATCTTTCCCATGACAACATGATAAAGTCATCCGAATTTTATAAAAAGTAACTTGAAATTCAAGAGACCTAAAAACACTATCTGGAATTAATTGATTGATTAAAAACAACGGCGTAATTTTTTTCCTCATTATTTTTAGATCTCTCTTAAGGGAGCTATTCGGTATATTCATCCGATCGGCCCGTTCCGACTTATATACTGCGTGCAAAACCTTCCCATATTTTTGTAAACTATCAGCAGGAAGCTTTAAAACTATAAGACTAGCTGCAGATCCAGAATATATACTCTTTGGGGGGTCTAAGATGTCTCCTGGCTTTAAAAACTTCGGACTGAAATTATAATACCCTCTGCAAGGGTATAAAAATCTCCAAAAGGTGGCGAAATAAGGACTATGTGACTCATAATTTGATCTAACACTACTCGATAAAGGTTATGTTTATTTTACAAAAGTCAACTTAATCTGTAATTATGTACCATTGGATTGAATTTTCTTTGAAATTAAACTTATTACTGTGCATTTTAAAGTGCAGGTGGAGTGCTTGTAAAGAATTTATTAATAGTGCAAATAGCTTGAAAAAGTGCAAATTCTCTTGTGTCTTCTTTAATTTTTCATTTACTTTTTCCGTCTTTTATTATGTTTTCCAATTTTGCAATAATGCATTTCAAGAAAAATGCGTTTTTTCGTCCAAGAATTAAAATAACGGAGGCACTTTGGATTCCATGATTTACAAAAAATCCTCGTGTCACAAGAAAGTCTCATCCCGCTGAAAAACACTGCAGTTTAAAATATCTAAGATTGGTGTGTACATAAAGAGTATTCGTATTTAACTCACTGACATTTAAAATTTTACAAATTAAATTATTACTATTAATTTTACCTTTAATTCCAGTTCGTTTTTCACCCTTGCCAACTATGTCCACCTTGATAAATGTAGATGCATATAATTAGTTTGTTTTAGTTTTTATGGAGATATTTTATGAAGTAAGATCAGATATCATCTTATTTCATTTTCCGCTACAATTTTAGCACATTCTTGTGCTTAGCTTAAAACCTGAAGAAAACTGTATACATATAGGTATATTTTATGAATGAACCGTCTGTTCATATATACAATTTTTCTTGAGAACATTACACACTTTGTCCTGCGCAGAAAGATATTGGCTACATTGTTAAAGCTCTATTAAGTTGAGACAGGTACTTTTTAAAGCTTAACTTCTTGTATATATGCTAAATAAAATGTTATTGAAAAAAACAAGTATAAATATTTGTTTGAATGGTGTAATATTGGTTTAAAATTTAACACATATAAATATTTTTCAAACTTAGGTCTCGATATGTTTAAATGACTTTCTATTTAATGACTTTAATTACCGTATTTAATTACAAGCGATTTTTATTTACAAGAAATAGATTCGTGTTCGACTGTTTCACTTACACGTTTCGATACCCAGCGTAAACTGAACTAAAATAATGTTGACTTATAACGAATGCAACTTACAACGTATCTGGAGGATAACTAAAGCTTTGAGCTTACGCCTCCTGACAAGCAGAAAGCTATTTGTAAGGGTGGACCCTAACATGGTAGTATAAGTATTAGGTAGTCTCGTCGGGTTGTCTCCGTCCGTCAATAATCATCGCAATGAGTGCGAGTGAAAAAATGGTTTATTTAGTAAGTGCGAAAGAAGCAGCAATTATCTTTGGGGAGCTTCCTTTCTTAATTCTCCATATTTTACATGTTTTTCCTTAATTATTATTAATAATAAAATAATTAAAATACTTATGTCGCAAGCTTTTAAGCATTGTATGCCAAGCCCTTTTTACCGCGAAACTCTCTGGCACAAAAGTATCACGATCTGAATCGAAATACGTCTGTACGTCTGTCCGTCTTTCTTTTGATTTTCAAAACATGGAGTTTTATAATAACCCTTGATTTGAGAAAAAAATTTCATTAAAATCCGACAACGTTATTATATAGCTGCCATACGAGCGATCGAAAAATTTATATAGAAATACGGGAAATAAAATTATAACATCCTTGTTTTTCATCATCAAGCATGATTTTTTGGAATATAGAGTTCTCTAACTACTCTTGAATTACATATTAAATTTCATCAAAATCGGACAAATATATCATATAGCTGCCATACGAACAACAGTCAAATTAACAGGCAAATTAATAGAAAAATTTTAATAGTTTCGATGTTGTGTAGCCCTTATGCATTTTGATTGACATATTTGATGACTGCATGGGTATATAAGCTCCGGCTTTGCTTCAAGTAGCTTTTATCTACAAATATGAGTGTCTTTCACGACACAATTGTACAAAAGTTTAGTTCGTTTTACTTGTAACACGTTATTAGCATGAATTGAAACAAAAAAAATGAGTGAAAATATCAAAGTTGTAGTTCGATGTCGTCCCATGAATCGAAGTGAAATTGAAAGTAAATGTGAAGTAAGCGTTTATATATTAACAATATTTGTTGTTTTTAATTTTGGTTTCTCTGTACATATACTGCAACCATATCATGACTAATTATTGATTTTGTAATCATTTACCTAGGAAAGTTAAAATACATGTGTTTGATTTAAGCAAATTCTAGGGTTCACCAAAAAAAATTGTAGTCGACTGCTCAGAATATTCGCATATGTCTTATAGACGAATTTCATTGACTCATTTTATCACATTTTGTATGTTGGTGCTAGGACCCCAACCTTTTTAATAATCAGATAATAAACCTATAAACTTATACACTAAATAAAAAATTAAACAATTTAACCTCCTTTTTTTTTTTTTTTTTTAATTTCAGAACATTGTTGAATTTAATAAATATGCCGTTTCAGTAAGAAACACTTCTACTCTTTTTTCTCCGAAAAAGATGTTTATATTTGATAGTGCTTATGATATGATCACAAAAACTGAAGTGATTTATAACGAAATGTGCTACTCACTTGTAGAAAGTACTCTCGAAGGATACAATGGAACTATTTTTGCTTACGGCCAGACAGGTTGTGGAAAAACACATACAATGCAGGTAATAATGGTTAAATATGCAGTAGAGAACTTGACACCATTATTTTGATAAAAAATCAAAAAAAAAAAATAAATAAATAAGCACGAAAAGATAAATCATAAATGCCAATGTCGCTTAAATAGTAAGTCTACATTTTTTAGATAGCAAAACATATAAAAAAAAGAAAAGAAGCTAGAACAACGAAACGATGTTCCTATATTTTCGATGATTGTTCATATGACAGCTTCATGATATAGTCGTTCGATACTCTATGAAATAAGTTAAATGTTTTGAACGTTTTCAATTTTATTAAGCATTCAATGCTTATATATATGATATGATATAGAGTATATCGAAGAAAAACGAAGAGAAATCCCGCCTTTACCACGGCCCAATTAAATCAGTTTCTATTTAAATAGATAGATAGTAACTCTCCCAAATACTTCCCAAGTTAAGCATTTTCCAAATTAATGTAACAACTACTTAAATAATTATGAGATTATCATAAATAAATCTTTTCAGATTGGTACTTACTCAGTTAGCTCCTTGATCTGCACTGCAAACTTTCGTCTTCTTGGAGTAAGATAATCACCGCAACCACTTTATTCGCAACATTTACACTTAACACTTTACCCTGAAATTAAATAAAAAAACAAACAAAATATAATAAATATTTTGTTACAAATAATAATAGTTAGAATTATTTTGTTAGTAAAAAAGGTATTTACCTCTTTGGGTTTTTTATTCACTGCATCTTGAAGTTCACTCCAAGCAGAAAGGAATAGTCATCACCTGTAATGAAAAGAAAATTTGAAAATATGTATTAGTTAAATTATTTTATACAAATCGATTGTTTAAAAAAATACATACCCAAATGAGTTGATGCACTGCATCCTGGAGTGGAGTTCAATAAGATAACCACTGCAACCACTTTATCCGCAACATGTACACTTTACACTTTAACCTGAAATTAAATAAGAAAAAACAAGAAAGGAAGCTAGCTTCGGCAAGCCGAAGCTTATATACCCTTGCAGTCATCAAATATGTAAAAAAAAATACATAAAGGCTAACCGACATCGAAGCTATGGCAATTTTTGTATTAATTTTCCATATTTTCGACTATAGATCATATGGCAGCTATATGATATAGTTGTCCGATTTTGATCAAATTTAATTCGTAATTAGAGTCGTTAGAAAACTTTATATTCCAAAAATCATGCTTGTCAGATGAAAAACAACGAAGTTATAATTTTAATTCCGTTATTTCTTCATAGATTTTTTTATCTTCCCTATGGCAGCTATAAAATATAGTAGTCCGATTTTTATGAAACTTTTTTTCAATTTAAGGGTTGTTAAAAAACTTGATATTCAAAAAATCATGCTCGTGGGATAAAAAACAGCGATGTTATCAATTTATTTCCATTAATTATATATATATTGTTCGATCTCTCCTATGGCAGCTATATGATAGTGTTATCCGATTTTGATAAAATTTAATCCGAAATTCAATAGTAGTTAGAAACTGCTATCTTGAAGAATTCAAGTCGATCTGATCAAAAACATCGGCGTTAGAATTTTGTAGTTCAATTTCTTGTATGGGAGCTATCCTATATAGTCGCCCGAACCGGCCCGTTCCGACTTATAGGTATACTGCGTGTAACAACTACACAACATTTGGGAAAGTTTCAGCAAGATAGCTTTAAAACTGAGAGACTAGTTTGCGCGGAAACGGACAGACGGACAGACGGACAGATGGACAGACGGACAGACGTACAGGCGTTTTCCGATGCTCGTGATGCTGATCAAGAATATATATACTTTATGGGGTCTGAGGTGTCTCCTTCACTGCGTTGCAAACTTCTGACTGAAATTATAATACCCTTTTGCTCTGCAAGGGTATAAAAATAATAATAAATAATTTGTAACAAATAATAATAGTTAGAATAAATTTGTTAGTAAAAAAGGTATTAGTAAAAAGGTATTTACCTCTTTGGGTTATTGATTCACTGCATCTTGAAGTACGTTCCAAGTAGAAAGGTATAGTCATCACCTGTAATGAAAAGAAGCATTCCAAAATATTAGTTAAATTATTTTATACAAATCAGTTGTTTAAAAAATACATACCCCAATGAGGTGATGCACTGCATCCTGGAGTGGAGTTCAATAGAAGATCACGCCATTCATAATTGATCCTGCAGCCTGTTGTCCAGTCCATTTATGTGGTGTCAGCATACTATATATCTCCGGTAACCGCATTCTTACAACTATTCTTACTATATATATTTATATTATATGTCCCTACTTGTTTACAATTATTAATTGTGTTTGATTTTCATGTACTTCAAGTTCAATATTTGATAAAATTTACCTTTAAAATTTCTTTCATGTTCTTGAAAACTTTCAGATCTTTATCTGTTGCTTTTAGTTTCTTTGTCAAAATATTTATGATTTTTTAAAATATATAACTTAATTATTTATTGTCTAAAGGATGTACTCACTGCGTAATAACCTTGGTGCAGTGCATCCTGATGTCGAACTTAAAGTTACAAGTTGGATGGTGTCACCAATTATTTTCTGCAATCAGCCAAATACACAACCAAAAACCTGATAAAAAAATATAAAAAAAATTGAATTAATTAACTGCATTTTTTTTACAAAAGCCACGTCATCACATAATTAAAAAAAACTGCAACTCACCTTTTCCGGTTTGGATGCCCTGCATCCTGGAGTCCACTACATGCAGGAAGGGATCGGGCACCTTTAAGTTCATGCCAAGTCAGGTCATGATGCAGTGCATCCTAGGAGGAGTCGACCCATGGTGCACTGCATCCGGGAGTGAACTCCAGTAGGAGGAGTCGACCCAAGATGCACTGCATCCGGGAGTGGACTCCAGTAGGAGGAGTCGACCCATGATGCACTGCATCCGGGAGTGGACTCCAGTAGGAGGAGTCGACCCATGGTGCACTGCATCCGGCAGTGGACTCCAGTAGGAGGAGTTGGCCAGATACTCTCTCCCACTCTGGAACCACGTCACTAACACACACGCACACACACACACTTCCAGATCTCGGAAGGGGTGTTCCCCAAGTGCTGGAAGAGACAGGACTTAGTTTTAATCCCAAAGGGAGGTAAAGTGCCTGAAAAAACAATAAGCGTTTTTATTGCCGAAACGAAAAACTTTGCAATTGCAGTGGTTAATTCTTTTGCGATTGGTTTTATTTAAGGCGAAGACGAAACGAGATCGAGGCGAAAGTTACGCAGTGCGTACGACAGGGAGTTCAATTTTCAACTAACTTTTAATTCCATCAAATTCTCTTACATGCTAACCTACGATACTGAGCGGGAGAGCGGCGGCCGAATTCGCCTGAGCGATAAAGCTTTATTACGCCCCGCTCCCCGCTTTACATAGACAATACGAGAGAAATCTCCAAAGACCGCCCCCTCTGAAGGGACGACGTCCTTCAGGACAACGTTGAAAGAAGCGCCAGCCGATGGATGGCTCGCCTGAAGGTTCCCTCTGCCGTCTTGATGTCCGCCACTCGGACCTTCCCGTCAGCGCCGACGTGCACCGCTACTACGCGCCCGATCCTCCACTGCTGGGGCGGCAGATTGTCCTTGCCGACGACGACGAGAGCTCCCACGACGACGTTTTGGACCTCCTGGTTCCACTTTTGCCTCGTCTGCAGGCTGGAGACGTACTCCCGGGACCATCGCTGCCAGAACCTGTGCCTGAGCGACGAGACACTGCGCCATCTTCGCAAGCAGGTCGGGCTGATCTGGTCCGGGAGTGCCGACGGTGGTGGAGCGACCAGCGGGCCGCCGATCAGGAGATGTCCGGGTGTTAGGGCTTCGCCGTCGCTGGGGTCGCTGCTTAGCGCTCCGATGGGCCTCGAGTTTAGCACCGCCTCCACGCTGGCGAGAGAGTTCCAAGCTCCTCCGCGGTCAAGAGGTCGTGGCCGACCGTCCGAAGGAACAGGTGCTTTGCAGACTTCACACCTGCTTCCCATAGACCGCCGAAGTGAGGTGCTCTGGGCGGTATGAACGCAAACTCGCATCCTTTTTTTGACGCAAATGCTTCGATACCACCCCCCTGCTCCTCCAGACGGGCCCGGAACTCTTTCAGGTGCCGATCCGCGCCGACGAAGTTGGTCGCGTTGTCGCACCACACCTTCTCCGGAATCCCGCGACGACTCACGAACCTTTGGAAAGCCAATAGAAATGCTTCAGTGGTAAGGTCAGACACTAACTCTAAGTGGACCGCTTTGGACGCAAAACACACAAACAAGGCCAAATATGACTTGTACGGTGGTTTACCACGGATGCGATACGTTGTGCTAAATGGCCCACAAAAATCGACGCCACAGATATTAAAAGGGCGGAGAGCTCGGAGTCTGTCTGATGGCAAGTTCCCCATAATTTGCGTCAAGAGCTGCGGCTTGCATCGAAAGCAGCGCATGCACGAACGAACTGTTCGGCGACATACGTCTTGAGCATTGACCAACCAGACTTTCTCTCGCAGGAGACTCACAAGAGCTCGAGGACCAGCGTGACAATTTGTAACGTGCAGATACGACATGTAGGTTTTAACAAACTGTGAGCTTTTTGTTAGCAACAACGGAAATTTGGCTTCGTACGGGATAGGAGCATTCAATAACCGACCACCAACTCGCAATAATGTCGAAGAGCACCAATCTGATTTATTTTCCTGCACAAAGGGATTTAGTTTTTGAATTTGCGTTGATACCGGTTTCTTTTTCCGAATTTTGCCTATGTCGTCACTGAATTCGTGAGATTGGATGACTTCTACAATTTTCTCGAACGCAAAATTCAATTCTCTTGGCGTAATGCTTTTTTCGAAAGGCTGTACAACTTTCTTACACCTCCGAAGAAATCTTAAAACCCACACGAAAACTCTCAGCAGCTTCAGGTGCGACGAAAAGGACTCGATTTTCTGAAGCAGGTAGTTGGGCTCTGGTGTGACAACAAGAGTTAACGCCGACTTGCGTAACTCACTCGACACAACTTCTGAAGGAAGTTCGAAATGCTGATTTACAGGCCAACTACTTTCTGTGTCGAGCAAAAATGACGGCCCAGCGAACCAAATGGACGTTAAAAGATCTTCAACGTCACATCCTCGAGACACTATATCCGCTGGGTTAACTTTCGTGGGAACGTGTCGCCAAATTGCATTCTCCGACCACTCTTGAATCTCAGCTACTCGGTTTGAGACGAAAACGGACAACGACGAAGGATGAGTTTTGATCCAATGCAGAGTGATCTCAGAGTCGGTCCATAGGACCACCTTTTTGATAGGGCAATTTAGTAATGGCCTTACACGATTAAGAAGATCTGCTAGAAGGTGAGCTGCACACAGCTCAAGGCGAGGCAAAGTTTTCGTCTTGAGGGGAGCTACTTTGGATTTGGCAGTCAGTAATGACACTTTTAAACCTTCAGCAGTTTGAGTGCGAACGTAGATGCACGCTCCATATGCTCGCATGGAAGCGTCAGCAAAACCGTGTATTTCAATCGGGACTTGCGGATCTGTATGAACGAATCGCGATACCTTGACTTTGGGCAGTTGCAGCAGAGTTGCTTTGAAGGCTTCCCACGACGTTTGTAGCTGCATCG